TTCTCTCATATATCGGAGTCATACTATCTTGATAATTCAATTGTGATACTTTAGGAAGAAATATTTAAAAATATGTGTAAGCTACATGTAACTACATAAATATACACTGTATGTTATAATTTTCAAAATTCTAAAGGCAAAAACTTCACAAAATATGACAGTTGCCAATTCATTAATTTGCTTGCAAAATTTATAATATAAATATAAAAAATGGAAAAATTAAACGTTAAAGAGAAAGAAACTTCGGCATCGTACTTCACTCCGACAATAATCTGGCATATATGTATTATATATACATATATACAAGATCTTACATTTGTTCTACTTGAATATAATACTCTGTCTATTCTAATAAAATTTTCGTTGTACTTAATACCTAACAGAGGTTTTGTCTTTCGAACTACAGGCACGCAACAAACCAGCGGATGGCGTGGGTCATGTAAATCAAAAAGGTGCTTCCGGTCAGAAAGCGCCAGTAGCTGGTCAGAAGGTTGCACCGGGTGCTAAGGTCGCAGCGAAACCGGCCCAGAAGCCGACAGCCCAAAAAGGTCAAGTGAAAGTAACACCCAAGGCGGCTTCCGTGAAGACTGGCAAAAACAAGAAGAAGGGACAACGGCAACAATATGATCTCATTGTTACTATTAATCTGGTGAGTGCATAAGATCACCAATGTCACATCATATATTCAAGATCAAAATGTTTCATCCGCTAGTCATTTATATGTAAATCGCTAGTCATTTATACGTAAATTTTCTTTTAGTCTTGGTCCTATTTCAAAGAAATTAGCAGGTTTATATACTTAAACCATAAACATTTTTATAAATTGTTCCTTTACTTCACAAGTGACATAAGTTAAAAAATTAAGTTTCTTAGAAAATAGGAAAACTATTTTTTAAATTGATAGAAAGTTGATTAATCAAATAATATCAGCAAAAAAACATATTTTTAACAATTAAATGTTATTTTTGTTTCACAACTTTTTTGAACGTTTTTGTAACGTTTTTGACGATTATTTATAAAATTAAATTATTCCCTTTTGATTGAGTAATGTTTCTTAACGATTTTTTTTTAATCATCCTTTTTTTATGAAGTTAAGCTAGTTCACATTTAATGATTGATAAGATAATGTTTACGTAACTCGATCATTCATATAATTCGAAAACACATTTTTTAATTTGTGTCACTTTCGAAGTGTAAGGAAGTGAAAATATAAGAGATTATTTCTCAAAATTCTAGTCTCATTTTGATGATGAATTTGAAGTTTACCTTGAGTGAAATATTGATATTTTTTGTAGTTAGAGTAAAATGAAATAGATTGACAGAAATTTTCAAATTATGTATAAGATTGGGATCGCATATATATAATCTTCTATTCAATTAAATATACAAAACATATACTACTGATAATATATGTTTTGTATGTTTGATTGAATACACTATATTCAATCTTTTGTACAATTTAAAAATTTCTATCATTAACCTTTTCAAATTATCCCGTTTTATCTCACAATTCATAAAATAGAAATAAAGGATTTTTTTTCGCAAACTGAATTTAAATGATTAAAAGGATTCTAAAAAGGATTCGTCTATTTTATTGATTAAACGCAATAATTTTCGTAAAGGATTATTGCATATATTATGTTTATAGATTTGAAAATTCTTTTTCAAAATTAGCATGAAATTTATGCTCAGAAAAATTTTTGAAGTTGATTTTTTTTATCACCTCTTAGAATTACACATCTAATTTGATACGATAAATCTTTGAAAATTTAGGCGTATATGTGCATGCAATATTGTATATCATAATACGATGTATGTAATTACAGTGATGTGTCGATTGTCAATAACACGTAAATCATATGTGATACGTCTTATATCAGTAAAACAGTGATTCGAAATTCAAATTTCGTTGTTTCTGAAATATACTTTTCAGAATTTTAGTATGTAGTTTAATTATTTATTAATATCACCTAAATTTGATTATTTCATATACTTAACAAACAATTTTTCTTAAAAATTATCTTCAACTTAAAAGAGATTGAGCTAAAATGGAATTTAATATTGTATTTTTTTTTAATAGCTTGTAAAAATTAGTTGAAAAACGTTATATACCGTAGTTAATTTCGATTAATTACTCAGTCTGCCTTAAAATCATTAGCAATATTCCCAAGTGATTTGCGTGAATAGGCCATCACCTAATTATTTTTGTTCGTAGAAATAAGAGCGAAATTATCAATGACAAATCGAATCGCATCATAAGTCACCTTTGTTAACTTAGCGTGCACTTCACGTAATGCGTGCACATTGGCAATAAATACGGCACGATCTGACCCAGTTGAATGCGATGAGCGATCGATAAGTTGCTCATGTTCAGCTAATGTATAACACGTACGTGTTGTCAAGATATGTCGAAGGAAAATAATGTTGCCTTATTGGCATAATTAGCGACAGTTCATCGATCGCTTACTCTATTTTGGGATTGCAGTTCCAGATTGACTGTTGACAATTTCAAATCTATCTGATATTTGATCTTTATGCAAATTGCATATGCACATTCAATTCTAGCATGTTATTATTCTCTGCATTCATTATAAATTATTATTATTACGATTATTTATATTATATGGCCGTCTTTTATATTTGTTTCGCATAATTTCTATGTCATATATAGTCATATAGAGGTATTCATTCATTGAAAATTAATTTTTTTTATACTTTTATTTTTATCACGTATGATTTAATTATTATTTTAAATTACATTAAGTATAATCCTTTAAGATTCAATTTATACTCGAAAAATTGTTTCCGCTTTATTTTTTTATATACTCTTTCATAAAAATATTTAAAGTGATGTCAAACGAAGAAATTTTTATTAAGATAATTAAATTTATAATATCTTCAAACAGAAATTAAATTATTAAGTATTTCTTCTTGTTAATATTGTGTAACTTTTGATTAATATTAATGCTAATATTATTAAAATGTTATGGACTTTCTACAATAAAAAACCTATTACCTAAATTTTAAGTCTTAAACCATAAGAAATTGACCAATCACAATAAAATATGAGTAGAATAATTGACTATGACTGATCATTAATTAAATTATTATAGAAAGTCCATTATGCTGGATCTAACGCGCAAAGTTATGACAAGCAAAATATCTGTCCATGCTTCAAATCAGAAGTGAGGAAAGGAATAGTCACCTAAGCATCTAACCGTAGAGGGGACCTGGTAGTTAAAAACAGACTAAGATTGCCAAAGTCCTAAACACACTCTTTGTCATCGCACACATACTATGCTCAATCACACTCGACAGTCAACATCCGAGCGTTCGGAAGTCGCGCCGCGGCGGCAAGCGTGTTCCTTCGAGGCGTACGCGAAATAATGTGCGTGTGTGACCGCGAAAGTTGAAATCGTTGAAAAGTGAAGTGACGAGGAGGAGAAACGAATCGCGGTACGTTCCTCGATTTCATCCGGTCGAAACGCGAGGCGCGCGAAGTTCGTATTCCAAGCGCGCGTATTTCTCTATGCCACACGTGCGTCGCGTCGGCTATTTTTACTCATTCGCGAGCTATCACATTTTCGAATAGTGTCGCCCATGTGAATATCGTGCACACAGTTGCCCGATTCGATGTGATCGTCTCTTTCGATGTTTCGTTTTATTGAGAAAAACGACGAGTTTTAGAACTAAACTTCTCAATTTTATCTTCTCATCCAAATAAATGTAATCGTGATCGATGGCAAAAAAAAAAAATGGCGGGAAGTCTGAGTGTCTTTCGGATTGCTTGCATCTCTCTTTCTTTTCGGCAATAGAAAACTGGTAGTCTTAGAGTTCGGTTTCTATCTCTCTCTTTCTCTCTTCGAATAGTTTTCAATGAATTGCGAATATATGCGTTGACTTCGATTCCGAAAGATTATGATAAAAGTGCGGTTTACGTCTCTTTTTTTCTTTCTTTTTACGCATTGACGATCGGACGTCGAACATGACGCGCTAATGAGAGAGAAATGTCGGTCTCGATGGCGACTCGATGGTAATTGGGACGAGACATCAGACGTTAGACATAGCCACGAATCCGCAGTTAACGTATAATCTGGCATAATCTCATCATCGGTCGCTTCCGACACACATTCCCGACACGACCGGCGTGACACTTGAACCATGGCGGAAACAGAAAAGAGATACACGCACGCATATGGACAGCTGCGTAGATTAACAAGCACGATAGATGGTCAAATTAGGCAGTTGAGTGTAAGTAAGAGTACAGATTTCTTTGAACCATGGCGGAAACTTAAAAGTGTGCGTGTTGAAGTTAAGAAAGAAATTTTTATTAAAAAAACTCGTTTAAATCGTTATCATTGAAATAAAACGTATTCGAGCAGAGTCGTGAGACTCGCTGTCACGTTGCGACACATTATTATTAATAATTCATTACACGACCTCCCTTCGCGCCGGAGTTTCTAGCGTTGGGCATCTCGCCAAAATTTCTTCAATACCTTCTCATACGAGTATCATACGAGAACAGATCGTAGAAGAGTACTAGTTAAAACAAGATCATTCGCCTATAAGAGGCAATATCTTATAGATGCCATTTGATGCTGTATGCATATGTAATAGAAATTTAATTCATAGATCAAACAAAATCGCATTATGCGTTATACGAAATGATAGGTGTTTGTCCTTTTCTCTGTTTCAGTCCGAATATGGACTCACAGAAGATCAGGTAGCAGGTGAGTTAACGATTGTAAATAATTCAATAATTATAAAATAAGTCATAAAATAATTTAAAAATCAGTAATAATTAATGTAATAATTTATAATAGAATTAAAAATTCATAATTCATATTTTTTAAATTCGTGACATTTGTGCTTTTAATATTTTGTATTATAAAATATATAATCTATAAAATATTTTGTAATATAAACGGTTCTTTAAAATAATTAATATACGTACATGAAAGACATAAAAATTACCGTTATATAGTGTGTGTGCCAGTTGGCAGGTTTTCCTGTTTACCTAATATCTTGATGCTGAGTCAGTTATAATGAGAATTAGAAATAATTTAAAAGAGACAGAACGCATAGTACATAGATTTAAAAGATATCAAACAATGAAATATTTCACTAGATAATCTAAACGAATAAACTCTTTGAACGTAAATAATTGATGTATAGTTTACGATGGGTCATTATTTCTAACGATATCATCGTTGACACGCAAGAATATTGATTATATTTAACTCATGATCTAACTTTCTGCGACATTTGCATTCTTCTAGTTATAATCTTATTCTTTAGAATAATACTAGACAGAAGGGAGATAGAAAAATTAAGAAAACTTTCATAGATCAATTTATTCCTAGCCTATATAAGAGTAT